AGGAGTCTTAGAATCGTACAATTATTCATGCACAGAATTGGGCCATTGGCCCAAGTTGCCTGTGCCAGCTCTTTGAAAGAGCTATCCAAATTAATCCCACTCCCTCACTCTCTCCCCATAGCCTTGCAAATTTGTCTTTCCTAAATATCTATGCACTTCTCTCATGAAAGCTGTTATTGAATCTGCTTCCACCACCCTTTCAGGTAGTGCATTCCAGAGCCAAACAACTCACTCAAAACATTTCTCCTCATCTCCCCTCTAGTTCTTTTGACAACTATTTTAAATCTGTGTCCTCTGGTTACCGATCCATCTGCCAGTGGAAATAGTTTCTCCCTGTTCACTCTATCAAATCCCCTCATAATTTTGAACACCTCCATTAAATCTCCCTTTAACCTTCTCTGCTCCAAGGAGAACAATCCTAGCTTCTCTAGTCTCTCCACATAACTCAAGTCCCTCATTCCTGGTACCATCCTGGTAAATCTCCTTTGCACCCTCTCCAAGGCCTTGACATCCTTCCTAAAGTGTGGTGCCCATAACTGAACACAGTACTCTAGTTGAGGCCTAACCAGTGTTTTAGAAAGGTTCATCATAATCTACTTACTTTGGTATTCTGTGCCCCTATTTATAAAGCCAAGGATCCTGTATGTTTTTTTTAAAAAATAGCTTTTATCTACCTGCCACCTTCAAAGATTTGCTTATGCGAATCCCCAGGTCTCTCTGCTCCTGCACCCCCTTTAAAATAGTACCATCTACCTTACATTGCCTCTCCTCATCCTTCCTCCCAAAATGTATCATTTCGCATTTCTCCCCATTAAATTTAATCTGCCAATTGTCTGTCCATTTTACCAGTCTGTCTAAGTCTTCCTGCAGTCTGCTACTATCCTCTTCACCGTTTACTACGATTCCTAGCTTTGTATTATGGTCATCTTTCCTCACCCCTTTGCCCCCCCCACACCTCTCCCAGCTCTAATTGTGTGAAGCATTTTGAGTCTCCTCTCAAGGTGAAAGGTACTATATAAATATAAACCGCTATTGATCATGGACAACGTTAGATAATATTTTTAAACACTGAATAGTTTCTACACCTTAAAATAATAAAAAAAAACTTGAATTTGATATAGCACGATTTATGTAAAGAGACTTTCTCAAAGCGCTTCACAGAATGCATTATGAAGTGACTGGATCTTGTAGGGGAACATGGCAGCTGATATAATAATAATAATCCTTGCATTTGATATAGCGCTTTTCAGGTCTTCTAGACGTCCCAAAGCGCTTCACAGAATATACTGTAAAGTGAATTGACTGTATATTTGTGGGCGAACGCGGCAGCCAATTGCGCACAGCAATGTCCCACAAACAGTCGTAGATTGAAAATGACCAATTTATTATTGTTTTTTTTTGGAGGGATTATTATTAGGCGTGTGGAGTAAGGAAACTTGCCCAAGGTTTCTCCCGGCCTGGAATTGAACTCAGGTCTCTCGCTTGCAAAGCGAGTGCTCTAACCACTGAGCTACAGGACTCCACACAGCAATAATAATAATCCTTACATTTGATATAGCGCTTTTCATGTCTTCTAGACGTTTCAAAGTGCTTCACAGAATATACTGCAAAATTAATTAACTGCATATTTGTGGGCGAAAGACGGCAGCCAATTGCACGCAGCAGTGTCCACTAACCAGCAATGAAGTGAAGTGAATGACCAAATTTTTAATTTGGGGATTGTTAGCTAGGACACTGGGAGAAACTCCTGTCAAGTGTCAATACACAGAAAAGCAGCATTTAAGTTTCTGAGTTGACTTTAGCTATATTGATTGAAAACAACAAATTAAATGAATATAGAATTGTACAAAACTATAGAATTCGGAATTGAATATTGACCCAAATCCTTATTGCAAAACAGTTGTAGACCTACTTAAACTGTCACTATTGCATAACATACAATTTCAAGTCACACGCCTTAAAAAAGGTTTGCACATGTAGTCATCAGGAAAAGTTCACTGAACATTCGCCTTCCTTGACGTATAGCTTATAATATACAAATTAGCCTTAACAAAAGACCGATTATGTTCAGACACCAAAGAAAACAAAAAAAATCAACAGGAGTGCGGCAAATTTTAAAGAAGAATGAAAGATTAGAGCGCAGGTAAGGAGAATGATAAATGTGTAAATATGTGGCAAATGTTAGGAAAAATATGAGTCCTTAAATTGTAATTTTCTCTAAGGAGTGGAGAGACTGGAGTGCAGATTTGAAAAGAAGACAAAGCCATAAAGAAGGCACATGGAATACTAGTGTTTATATATAATAAATGTAAAGGCCATGGAATTTAAAATAAGCAACAATAATTTACATTTATATAATAATCCTTGCATTTGATATAGGGTTTTCACGTCTTCTAGACGTGTCAAAGCGTCTTACAGAATATACTGTAAAGTGAATTAACTATATATTTGTGGGTGAAACGCGGCAGCCAATTGTGCACGGCAGTGTTCCACAAACAGGCGTGGATTGAAGTGACCAAATTGTTATTATTATTTTTTCTTGAGGGATTATTATGAGGCGTGTGGAGTAAGGAAACTTGCCCAAGGTTTCGCCCTGCCGGGAATTGAACCCAGGTCTCACTTGCAAGTCGAGTGCTCTAACCACTGAGCTACAGGATTCCATAGCACCTTTCACACTGGGTAAGGTCTCAGAGCACTGCACAGGGATATGGCTGGACACCAAGCAAGGGAGGGAGGGGGGAGAGGTATGTATCTATGCTGTTTTTAAAAATAAATTAAAAACAAATAATTCAAGTAACACAAACAACAGATGTTTGTAAACAGAAAGATATCTCACAGGACATGAAGTGCATTAATAGTAAATATGGGTCTGTCAGCTATCAGCTGACGAAAAGAAAACACAGGCCTGACATTTGCCAATTGTTTACACATAACTAATGCAAGTCATAATATGCCTCTTGACCCATAAAACCATGTTTCTGTTTTTACTATCAACACCCTACCTTTGTAACCTCTAGATTCAATTGACCTAGCGCAACATAGTTTTGAAGTGTTACAATCTTACCGAGAAACAAAATATGAGCAACTTCTAGTAGTTCAAAGCAATTTCTCATTAAAAGATACACAATAACAAATGTTGACACCCAATTGTTCTATTCTCAATAGAGGACTGAGGTATCTATTTGTATATGGGCAAAGAATAGAAAGGCCCTGCTTCCCCATCCCATCAAAATGAATTCACTTTCAGTCTCAATTTTAAACTTTAAAATCCTCAGTCTTTATCTCTTTCTCCCACNAAAAAAACTCACTTGGGCTATTTCAACCTTGGTTTNAAAAATAATATTATATCTACAATCTGAAACTACCATACATATTACTATACTATATGAAAAACATCATATTGTCTAATGCAAGAAATCATTTAAGACTATCTTAACTTCAGCATTTGCCCGTTCGTCAAATTAACTGTTCCATGAATAAGGAATACTGAACTTCAATATTACCATCTCAAGAACATTAAGAATTCTACACCTATACTGTAATCATTTTATAACATTTAATGCAACATAATGTTTTTACAAACTTAGTTTAAAATTAACTATTTACTTCAAGTCACCAGTTCTTGAACCAGTGACTTCTTCCAGCATCCTGGAGCATCTTTCTGATGTGAATGGTCCTATACAAGTGTAATTTGTTGTTCTTCATCTGACCCTCCAGACCAACCTTCCATTACCTCCCTCCCTATTCCCCAAAATATATGAGAGACCTAGTTTAACAATGTACATAAGATTAAAACTAAGATGACTCTGAAACGTCCCATCAACAATACAGCAGCATAAATCTGCTTTTTTAAAAAAATTCAAGACATTTTGCTGCAACAAAAGCAACAACTAAAATTAATTTTACACATTGCAATTTCACTTCCTACAATTCTTTCACAACCCTTAAACTATCCTATTTCACAGATTACAACAATTTAACCTACACTGCAACTTCTATTTTAAACAAAACAGCAGGTAGGCAATTCAGGGACAGGACACGAGCGTCACTGCAATTTGCGTAAAAATGTATTAAAAAAAACTTTTTCACAATAAAAAGGAGGAACCCTATAATTGCACACAATCTTTCCATTGCACACTTTCAACGGAGCTACAATGGAGCAGCCGATTCAGAGAAACAGACAGAGAGGGAGGGGGGGAAGGTTGGCCTGGAGGGTGAGGAAGAACTGGAATTGCATCCCTGGTGGCATTGCTCCACTTTACCTTGACAGGAAGTCAAGGCAGGTTGTTGGAGGAAAAAGGGGGGGGGGGGGGGGGAAGAGAAGGAGGGCGCACACGGCCCTGCCTGCCTCCCTGCTCTGCCTGCCCTCCCTCCCCTGCCTGCCTTGCCCTCCCCTGCCTGCCTTGCCCTCCCTCCCTGCCTTGCTGCCTGCCCTCCCTCCCTGCCTTGCTCTGCCTGCCCTCCCTGCCTTGCTCTGCCTCCCCTCCCTCCCTGCCTTGCTCTGCCTGCCCTCCCTGCCTTGCTCTGCCTCCCCTCCCTCCCTGCCTTGCTCTGCCTGCCCTCCCTCCCTGCCTTGCTCTGCTTGCCCTCCCTCCCTGCCTTGCTCTGCCTGCCCTCCCTCCCTGCCTTGCCCTGCCTGCCTTGCCCTCCCTCCCTGCCTTGCCCTGCCTGCCTGCCTTGCCCTCCCTCCCTGCCTTGCCCTGCCTGCCTGCCTTGCCCTCCCTCCCTGCCTTGCCCTGCCTGCCTGCCTTGCCCTGCCTGCCTGCCTGCCTTGCCCTGCCTGCCCTCCCTGCGTTGATGCCTTCGCTCACGTATGGAATCAGGAGAGAAACAAACACAAGAGGAGAGAGAGAGAGAGAGAGAGAACACGATCCATTACAGAGGACCGTCGCCGCGAAGGCCTGACCTGACCTGACCAGCCCCCCACCCCCGACCACCACCACCGGTACCGTTTGCCGGTGTCGGTGCGGCGGCGGCGACCCTCCTCCCCGCCCGCTCACCTACGAGAGCCCTCAGGTGCTTGAGACGGGTCAGCACGTCCTTCTTCGGGTCCAGAACTTTCTGTGCAGATTTCTTGACGTCTCCATGGCCCTTTCTGGAAAACATTCCCGGTCCGGAGCGAAGCGAAGCGAGCGGGCGGGCGGGCGCCGCGGGTATCCACCAGCCCTGCTTCACACGCCGCTCGGCATCCCCTCTGGTCGCGTCTCCGGCCCAACCGTCTCTCCCCCACCCGCGGCTCGCGCGCCGCTGCCGCTACCCCCTCCCCCAACCGCCACCAACCGCCGCCTCCGGACGGACGGACGGACGGCCGTTGCGTTGCGTCTGTAAACACGGAACCGAACCCGCGACGCTCTGCGTCTGACGTCGTGCGGCTCGAGAGGGTGGGATCTGCGACGTCACCACACGTCCTGCAGGACCCCGCCCTCCCTCTGTCATCAACCCCTGTCATGGACACCTGGGAATCCTGGCCAAGGTCTCTGCTCTCCCCACCACCACCACAACAGCAGCAGCTTGCACTTCTACAGCGCCCTCCGCACAGGGTAGAGTTCCACAGTGTGGGGGTGGGGCCGAGACGCCCAACAACCATACCATACCCGACCGCCAACGCAATGCCGGGGGTGGGTGGGAGCGCGACAACAACGAAATGACACTTGTGTAGCGCCTTTCGCGTCGGGAGGGCGTCCCAAGGCGCCGGACGCTCAAGGGTTTTGGACCCGAGCTGGGGGTCGAGGTGGGGGAGAGGGGAGGGCGGAGTGGGGGGGGATGCGGGGAGATCGAAAGTACGGTCGAAGAGGAGGATCTTGAGGTGGGTCTTGAAGGTGGCGAGAGAGGGGGCGAGACAGAGGGACTGCAGGATGGAGTTCCAGAGGGTGGGTGCAGAGGAGCGGAAGGCCCGCCTGCCAATAGTGCAGGGGACCTGAAGCAGGCCACTGGCCGCCGAGGAGTGGGAAAAGATGGGCTGATACAGGGTTAGGAGGTCGGAGAGGAGTCAGTGGAGCAAGTCAGTGGTGATCTTCTCGTGTGGCCCAGAAGGTGTTTTGGTCGTCAACCGGAAGTTCGACACAATGGGAACACATCACTGTGCTTAAGAGGGTCCAAACCCAACTACTAAGAGTGCCATATAGGTTTGGAAAGTTCCATTTGACTGATAGGGAAGTTATCACAGACTTGCACCATTCCTTACGCTAGTTGATGGGAAATGCTTCTCCAAGAGATCAGGAGATCTATCTTCCGAGCACATTTCTTATGAGGGATCAGTGTTGTGAACACATATAGTCGGTCAGAGATCAGGAATTTCCTTTATCTGTATCAGTGGCTGGTCCACAGTTGGAAGAAACACTGAATAAGAAGATTGTGAGTTCAAGCCCAATGTTGAGACTTGGGTTCAAAGGCTGGGCTGGCACTTTGGAGCTTGAAGGGAATGTTGGATTGTTGGAAGTTTTATTTTTGGGATGAGATATTAAACTGAGGTCCCGTTCTTCAAGTGGTTTTGTTGATCCCGTGATACTATTTAGAAAGAGAAGACAGTTTTCCCAGTGTTCTAACCAACAATAAATAAATAATAATAATTTGGTCACTCAATCCACGACCTTTTGTGGATACTACTGTATGCAATTGGCTGCTGTGTTTTGCCACAAAATATATAGTCAATTTGCTTTACAGTATACTCTGTGAAATGCTTTGAGATGTCTTGAACACGTTATTAGGCACTGTATCAAATGCAAGGATTAACAATTCACTTAACGTGGCTCTTTGTTGTGTTCAAAATTACAGCCACATTTTTCTTTACTGGATGTGACAGTAATTTCACTGAAGTGCTTTTGTTTTGACTTGAGAAGGTGCAAAAATGTAAATTACTTTATCCTGTATACCATGACAGCAATACATGACAACACACTGTAAATAAAGAACAATTGCTCTTTATGCAACAGGAAAAGCTGGGTGTTGTTTTCATCAAAATATGTAGCTGCGATATTTTTGTTGGGATACAGGAGCTTGTTTTGCATTATCATATCGTGGCGTCCAATAAAAGCGGGAAGACAAAAGTTGAACAGGTTTACTCGGGATAGTTTTAAAACTAAACAGTATTTACAAAATAATTATTTGAATATTTCAAGAAAGCATTCGTGTCTACCGGAGCCCTCCATAGACAAAACAACTGGAAAAATTTTAATGGAATGGCCTCATAGCTGCAGTAATCTCTGTTCTTGATATGAAAAATGATCTGTCTCATGATTCAGGAAGGAAAACAAGGAAAGCTGGTTATCTACAGGAAAATGTGACAAAAGAAGAGAAAGGAAGAAAGCACAGGAAACCCATGAAAAATGCAGGGAAAATGCATTGTTTACAAGAATTGCTAGTGTTATTTAAAAGCTTTGAGATTATACATGTTTAGTATCAGTTGTTTTCTTTTAAGCAGGTCAAAGAAAACAAGCAAAAGGAGTATGAAAATATGCTATTGTTTATACAGGAGTAAAAACATCTAGAAGATATAATGGAAACAGAAGAAAGATATATTCAACCCAAGAAATAAATAATCCTCACATTTGATATAGTTCCATTCACATCGGGAGGACCCCTCAAAGTGCTTCACAGGATAAACTACTGTATAAAGTGTAGTGCTGGCTTAAAGAACTATAGAAAACTGACTTTAAAGTTAAAATTTAACAATTTGCCAAATTCTGATTATTCCGAAATATTAAATAAATGGAGTAAATCTAGACAGAAGGGAAATTTATTTTCATCTATGGGACAGTAAGGAAGAAGTCCTTCTCTTTCTGGGAAAATTATGTACTATGCACCCAGTTGTATATGTACACAACTACAAACCGAAAATTTTCAACTCAAATAGACGAGATTCTTATTCAGAAGCCTACCAGTATATAATAGAGCATCGTGGTATTATCATGAAAAGACAAAGTATTCCTTGTTTTCTCTATTTCCAATGGCTTCCAAGGCCATTAACAAAGGATGACAACTTGTTTTGCATCTGCAAGATTAAGGTTTTATTCCATGCATGAATGGGGAAAAAATTTGGTTGCCCTGCTTGAGCTTTGCAGATAACTCCTTAAAATTTTACATCCTGATTTGTTATTATTATATTCATATATACACCTCTTAGTATCAGAGTTCCAAGTTTTGTTGTTATTGTGCAATCACTCACATAGCTTTAGGTCGGTATGTTGGACCTCAGAAGTAACTTAAATTATTTCATACAACTGGTTTAAACCATTTGGTTTGTTTGTCACTCAAAACTAGGGTCTGCTCTTTTACTCTCCCAACCACCCACCCACCCACATACACAACATACGCATAGGAGGACAGAATACATACACAAGTAGTCTCCTTTACTCTTTGCAGCCATTGTTTATTAATCATCCATTAATAGCGACATTGTTTCTTAGGATAATCTTGCATACAATGCGTTCCTTGTTGCAGTTTTAACTGCATTATAAAATAACGGCTGCTCTTGACTCCTGTGGTGCCTTTTGCTGTTGACTTTGTAGGTCAATATGGATAGTCCTCGCAGAGCAGAAGAATGCTTCACTGAAGCTGGGTTTATTATTCAAAGGGTACATCAGAGCAGCTTCAATTAAAAATAGCTATGAAATACCCTGTTTGATGACCATTACATATTAAGTTATTCCTGTTTATATTGCACAGAAAACTTGGCAGGGAAAATTGCATTTTTATAGCTACTTATGTCAAAACATCTAAAAATGCTTATCAAAGTAATCAAAAGTAATGATTGGGGCAGGGAAATAAATGTTTTTTTGGGGGGGCTAGTCAATTTGCAAACTTTAGCAAATGCTGCTCTCTTTCTGCACTGCATTGCTCACAGTGATGGTTTACAATAACAACTTGTACTGCACCTTTTATATAAGGTGAACATCTCAAAACATTTAAAATGTTATTGAATAACTGGTCAAATGGGTCCTAGAAAAATATTGTTACGTTACAGATAATTAGGGCATAATAATTCGTTAAAAAAAAATTGGTCACTCAATCCACGACTATTTGTGGGACACTGCTGTACTCAATTGACTGCCGCATTTCATCCACAAAATAAACAGTCAATTCACTTTACAGTCTGTGAAGTGCTTTGAGATGTCCAGAAGATGTGATAAGGAGCTATATCAAATGCAAGGATTATTATAATTATTATTGCCAACAAATAGTCTTGGGTCAATGTTCTTGGGGATCTCTGCAGCTTTTCATAAAGGGAACCAGCTTTCAAGCAATAAAATGGTTCAACAAGACATCTCAAAAAAGACCAGCTCCTGATCTCCCAGCTAGCAATATATAGCTTAGTAAGATTGTCTTTATATAAATTCAAACTTCAATCTTTGTAATCTATTATTGTCATTAATATAATTAATGTTTAATATTTCATTTTCTGTACATTTTTTCTGGTGACTAAATTGCAATACAATTTAGTCTGGAGCACCATCACAGAGCATTTGCAAATGAACAGTAAAACAAAATGGAATAATCTGGCATTTCACCACCATCATTTTGCTAACAAAGGCATGTTGAAATATCCCTGTGTGAAGATGGAGCTCAGTATTAGGAATATTTGGCAATCTTTTAATTCATGAGAGCATTTTGCAATTTTATTTTCAAGCTTTACAAATTAACAGCATAACCTCAGTCTGAATGAGAGAGGAAATGCTTCCATTTTTAGGTTCAGGAAGGAAACTCTTGAACCATATTAGTCTTGTAACTTCTTAAGAAATCTTTCTTTGAGAATTATCATAATTGATCTTCTGTTTAGTTAGAAATCTCACAAAGAGTCCAATTGTATAGGTTCAATCCTCCTGTTATTGTTTGGGTCTCTTTATCAGTTGGACCAGATGTTAGCAGTTGTAAAAACATCTGTTAAAATTCAACAAACACTGGGTGCAGAATAATGCTATTTGGGGCATCACCTCGCAACACTTGTTTCCAATTGTTGTGCTTGTATAATAAGAAATGAATGATTTGCAGAGGGAAATAAATGGTGACAATTATTTATCACACATAGTTCTGAAAATCATGGTATGAAAACTGGCAACACATCGTTAAATGCACCTCACTAAAGGTTGCAAGTGAAATCAAATTGATATCCAACAGCCATACGTTCTTAGCCAGAGATGGTGTAACACATTGCTGCAGACAAACATTCTCTGGCACATGTTGAAAGAAAAGTGGGTGTAATGGCTCCATTCAGACATGAACAACTCTGGGG